AAAACCATTGATTTTTGTTTAAGTAAAAGTTTTTGGAAAAAAAAAACGCTACGAACTTATTCCTCAACCTGATATTAGAGTATTGCTAAGCTGACAATGATAAAATTACACTATGAATCAATCTGCACTTTGTAACTTGCAAAGTTTGAAGTGCCGACCATTGTGGAATTTTCAAATTAAAGAAAAAGGAAGCTTGATATTCTTTCCTAAAAAATAAATGGAATATAAGACGGGAAATTCAAACAACCTAAGTTCAAAGGATCTAGATGAAATATCTATGATTTCTTTTATATTGAAAATAGCTGCTACCTTTTTGGCTCGGCATGACTTCTTGCTTTAATTTCTTAATCTGAATTTGAATCTTATCAACGACTAGGGAAAATTGGCTCTTGTAATGCAACGATATTTTCTAATGCTAATTGTAAGGTCCTCATATTTTCTTAATGCTTACCTGATTTACTGCGCTAGGTATACTCATTTTCAAGTGAACTTGTAGACACCTTGGTCGCATTATGATCGCACAATACTTTTAAAAGAAAAAACTCGAGTTCCGCTTTAGCACCTGACCAGTTAAGTATTTTTGGCTTTCGTGTTTAGTGTGCAGTCACACCACGTGCACTAGGGGATTCAGTATAAGTTACAACATTGTTTAGAGCTACTAATATGGTTGCTGGCAAAGTGATTGTCTACGGTGGCCGTGGTGCTCTTGGCAGCACTATTGTGGAGCATTTCAAGAAAAACGACTTTGTAAGGATCTTCTTACCCAGCTCAAAGCCAAAACCTCTTCTCTTCCATTTTTAGTGGACACTCAGTGTAGACCTAGCCGCTAATGATGCTGCAGATGCTACTGTAGTTGTTGACCCAAAAGATGATTGGGTGACACAGGAGGCCAATATCTTGAAGGGGTAAGTAGTTACAATGCACCTTTGTCTTTATCGCAAGACTCACTCATTCTATTCTCCATGAGTTTCGGTAGATGTCAGCTATGAGTAATTTGTACTACAATCTAATATTCTTTTCTGTGCTTGATTTAGTGTTGCCGCTGCCGTCGATTCACCTGTAGATGGAATTTTCTGCGTAGCTGGTGGATGGGCTGGTGGAAATGCTGCTACGGACGACTTTATTAAGAACTGTGACCTTATGTGGAAGCAATCCGTTTGGTCTAGTGCTATTGCTGCCAGAATTGCAACAAAACACCTAAAGCCTGGTGGTATCCTACAACTTACTGGAGCGCTAGCTGTAAGCATTTAGCCAGCATTTGGTCCAACAACTACCGTAAACAATCTAAATCTAGGCAACCCATGGTACGGCTGGAATGATAGCGTACGGTATGGCGAAAGCTGCCGTACATCAACTTACAACATCTCTAGCTGCAAAGGACTCGGGATTGCCCGATAACTCTTGCGTGTTGGCACTTCTCCCCATCACTTTGGATACACCAATGAATAGGAAATGGATGCCAAAAGCAGACCATTCATCGTGAGTTTATTTTAAGCAATTTTTGTGCATCGAAGGGGCTCTCCATTTCTAATTGTCGTTTTATAAAAAACAAGTCTTAGATGGACTCCTATGCCATGGATTGCTGAGAGACTCTTAGAATGGACTGTAGATGAGGCCAAGCGACCAGATAGCGGTTCTTTGTTGAAAGTGAAGACCAAAGATGGAGAAACAGAAATGAGCAAAGTTTAGGTTGTCTACTTTAGATAACTCTCAAACCTGCTTCTTTTCAGATTTGGCCAAAAGTGAATTTTTTTCCCCAGAATTTCTAAGCCCATATTTCTCTGTTCACTTCCGTACAGCTTTGTGATATGTTAAAATACGGTAATAATAATAATAATATTCTATGTTAGGTGTCTCTGAAAGCTGAATTATCCCATATCATGCCAGACCATTGAACTTGAGACTTGTGATGCAAAAATCGCTAATACACTTATTATATTTTAAAATCTATTCTTCAATCAAACCATTTTGAATGAGTCTCACCAGTGAGCTTTTTTAATAAAAAGTTAATTTCAGTTGTTTCCTCCCTGGCATTAATTTCCTTTCTAGTTTATGATTGATCGCACGCAACCTCACACATCTCATTTCCTATAGATGTAGTCTCACATGTCTGCTTATAAAAACAACTGAACATGACTATAATCTACACACTTATGCCTAAACGAAGTAGCAAATAATGACACAAATGTTACACGTACAATTTCAAGGTATCGGTTGTATTCTGAGTGTTTTACAGGTTACTGATTTTTGCAGCTGTTGGTGTAGTCGCGGGTTTGACTTCGATTTCGATGTCAAGATGTGCTAAAGTCGTATCATAAACAAAAACAAAGCAAAGTATGGAGAGAATTATAAAATTGAAATCAACAATTAAATCTAAGTTTTTACAACAGGATAACCTGTGTGCAAAGACCTTGTGTTAATGATTGTGAGCAGCTTTTGACTTGATTTATTATTAAAGTAAGTCAATATGAATGATAAAAACACTATTTAGTAATAGACCGAGGGAACTCTGAAGGCTAATTAATTT